GTGTGTGTGTGTGTGTGTGTGTGCGTTTGTTTGTGTGTGTCTATATGTACAACACATTCAATATCAGAAAGTCATTAAATAGTATCACATATCAGTACAATTAAAAAGAAAGACTGAACAAAATGGGACCTTCAACCCCCCAACCCCCATCTTGAAACAGGCAGTAAACAACCAAAAGAACATTTTTTTACCACAACCTTTTCTTAACCAACTATGACCCATAACATATATAATTTTGTACGATTGTTTTACCATACCCAAACTTTATTTCAATAAAACAAAACCGAACATGGTTCACATTTTCCAAATAAACACCAAGACGGGGATTTGAAAAGCCCAAGTTATTCAGTCCGTCCAAAAAAAAAGATTTTATGCATTGCATTGGGGGGAAATAAAGGAGTAAAAAAAAAACACAACTTTTTTCATCTTCCACACACAATGGTTCTACTGGCAGGCGAACCACAGTTGTTAGTGATTAGCCTGCCTATAAACAGTGACAATATTCACACCTTTCAATCAATCAACACCGAGTCGTCCGCACTAGCATTTGAGGCATTTGACCATCACTCTACACAAACAAACGTTTCAGTAACAACAGTGTCAAAAAACCTGACAGATATACGTTTTTTTAGATTTCTGTTTCTGATCTACTCCCATCTGTTACATGTACAATAAAGCACTTTGTTGACTCATCCTTCCGTTCAAAGTTCACGCATTCAGAATCATAGGTCAAGTAAAAGTAAAAGTAAACTTTGGAACACCTCCCGCCCCCACCCATCTTATTCTTACATTCCTTAAAAACCTCTTTCACGCATCATAATGTTTTGCTTTGTTTTAATATGTTTTATGGCGCTCGCAACTGCATAAGGTCATATGAGTGCCAAGGGGTGGAGGTCAACAGAGAAGTCCAAACAGGGAATCAGGCTTACTCTTAGTTCAGTTTAGTATGGGGTTTTACGGCGCTCACAACTGCATAATGTCATACGAGCGCACAGGCTTACTCTGCTCACCTCTCTAGCTTCAACAGCACAAAGTCTGCTTCAACTATCAAGGCACCCCAGAAATAGCCATTCACAAGAGAGTGGAAAACATACAAAAGAAGTCAAGGAAAAATGAGGATAGTACGGATGAGGAAAGCATCATAATGTGACTTCACAGAGACCCAACAGCAGCCCACAAAGACTGGGGAATCAAGCTGTGCGTACAATAGCAAGCCCTGAAAGTTCCCAACGGAGGGCTAAAGTCTACTTTTACTTCTACTACCATACACGGTGACCAGCTGTGACCTCCTCAATATTGTATTCTATGTAACATAATTCTATTCAACATATTCCCCAAGAACCTATAAATTATGGTCACTTTTAAGCACAAGAGGGCTATACCAAAAAATGCTGTTTTGAGAAAATCAAAGGTAAAGTTTTTGGACCCTTGTTCAGTTTTTTTAAAGACAAGGAGAGAATGCACACTTTTGATGTAGGTCAAGATTTCTGGAAACCCCCCCCCCCCCCCCCCCCCCAAATCAGGGTTGGCCCGCTTGTCCATAAAAGCGACCTGATAGTGCATGACTTACCACTACTCAATGTACATCATATCATACCCATTCAACAGCCCATCTTTATGATTGTATTCTAAAAACACCCCCAATAATTCCACTAAATCTATAGCATATATATACACAAATGTAATCACTTTTGTCAAACTGATACAGTGCAGCCTCTCTATAACGACTTTTGATATAACGACATCCTCTGAATAGTGACACGGTGCCCAGGTCCCGATTTTTTCCTCATATAAACAAATCATTAGTAATATTTATTTTTTTGTCTTTTATAACAACAACTCTCTATAGAGACATTTTTTTCTGTTCCCGACGATAGCATTATAGAGAGGCCGCACTGTACGAGAAACAAGGGCCCTCAAACAAACGTAAAGAGTAAAACAAAAAATGAACAAGAAAAAAGAGAGATAGCCACTCAAGTCAGGACATATGCATCATCTTCTTGTGGCTTGTGACACACACACACACCAATCACACACTGTGTTTCAGCACATACTACATACGTATAGTACAACATACATTCGAGACGCAGATACCATGTACATCCTTTACACTTTTGTCGTAAGGTTCCTTTTGTTAAGCCAATGTCTCTATTCAAGCAATCCTCACATTCATAAACCCATCTCTCTCCATACCATCCTCAAGCAATCCTCACATTCATTTTTCTAGCTCTCCTTTGTACAATTACTCATCCACCCACCTTGTTCCATCTCTCCTTCAAGCAATACTCATATTCATCCTTTCTGTCTCTCCATCTCACTCTCTCGTTCAGTTTCTACAGACACGCTAGAAAAATGAGAAACCCACTTAGCCCACGCCTTCATTTACAACAGTCAGAAACATTGTTTTTATACACACTATCATCCGTACCGTCATCGGTATCATTATCATCATCATGAGAACCAATATCATCAAGAAAATTAATCCTCTTTCAGTAACTCGACACAATTTCTTAAACTCCCCGAAAACAAAACATTATATTTATAGTTGTTCTTTTTTAATGTAAGAGTTTTTCCATCCCAATCCACATAATTTAGATCTCTTTGGAGGCGGGCTTCCGACCTTGCCAAGCCGGGCTGAGAGGAATTCTTTATATACAACTTCCTCGAATAAAGATCAAGATAATAGAAATTTGGGAATTCACCTTGGGTCCCCTGCACGCCACGGTGAAGTACATAACCGCCACACCACAGGCACTGGTTCAAAAACCCAAAGCCAGCACCGGAAACTAAAAACAGGTCTCCAGCCAACAGCCAAAACCAGCCAAATAATTCACGGTCATCATCTCTTGTGAACATCTAGCTCTCACTGGCAAAATTGAAGGCAAACGAGGCAGGGGTAGGAGAAAGATCAGGATAACGTAGCTTTTTTAAGAACATCCGAGCAAAGGAATGAATGGAGAACTATCTTCGCCAATGTCTGTCGCAGATCTGACACTGGATGAATGAATCATCTCTTGGTTTCCCTTCTCCCAATTTTTTTTAAAAAGTCACACACTATAGCATGAAAAACTTTACACAACAAATACTAAGTTTTCCCCATTACCCCTTGTGCTCTTAATAAACACCCGACTCTATCACTCCATCAACATCCTCAATCCAATTCCCTCACCATGTAGGTTTACCCAGAAGAGATCAGCACGGACAACTGGTCGCTTTTAAGCACAAGGGGGCTATCCTGAAAAATTATGTTTAGAGAAAATCAAAGGTAAAGTTTTTGGACCCTTGTTCAGTTTCTTTCAAAAGCAAGGAGAGTTTTCGCTATAATTTACAACCAAACAAATATACACACCAATGAAACCAAACTTCTCCTATAAGTCTGGAAACCCCCGAAGTCTTGGTTAGCCCGCTTGTCCTTAAGAGCAACCAAGTCTCTCCAGGAGTGGGGGAGTTGTTCCAGAGCGGGTGGGGGCGTGGTGATAGTGTGGTGATGCATGCTTGCGCATGGAGCTGACTGGTGTGCGGGCCTGCAAGTTTTTTCACCAAAGTCCATCGTCAGTGACAGGAACAGCCCATCATTTCTTCATGTTCGTCGACAGCAAAAGATTCACCTGGAAGTAGGAGGGAGGGAGAGAGAGAGAGAGAGAGAGAGAGAGAGAGAGAGAGAGAGAGAGAGAGAGAGAGAGAGAGAAATGCCTGTAAATTACACGTCTTCATTTTGTGACCTCCGTGCTTTCTTGTCCTATCTTCATTTTTTTAACATAAAAAATGTGACTTCTTCTTAAGCTCACTCTTTGTTGT